CGAAATGAGTGTAACATAGTGAAACGAATCTCTGTTCTCTGTTCTCTGTACCTCTTTCGAGTCACTTCGTACCTTTTTCGTTCAACTCATTTGATGGAGATTTGTAGCATCATTCAAGTAAATACAGATTGAGATCGTAGAAACATGAGCTTGTGATATAGCTACACCTAATTCAAGACCGGTTAATGCAAGAACTATAAATAAAGGACCAAGATCTCCTATGAAATATAAAAGATCATTCATACATAGCATAGTCCAAGCGAACCCACTTAAAATCTTTACTGAACTATGACCGGCCATCATATTAGCAAATAAACGTATTCCTGAGCTTAATGCGCGAAAACAATGAGGGATTAGCTCAAGGAGTACTAAAAAAGGTGCTAACGGCAGTGGGACTCCTGCAGGTAATAAGAAGCTAAAAAAATGAAGCCCATTTCTTTGAAATCCCACTATAGTAATGCCAATAAAAATCGAAAATGAGAGACCCAAAGTAATGAGAAAATGACTTGTCACTGTGAAGCTATAAGGTATCATACCCTGGGGATTACGAAATAACGAAAAAGTAAAAGTGACCGAGATGCAAGGGGAAAACTTTTGTTTAACATTTCCGGAAAGACCACCTATTTGTTCGTTTACCGGGTTCGGCACGAAATCATAAATAAGCTCTACCAAGGATTGCCAAGCATTTGGTACTGAGTTTCCTCCTCCCTTTTTAGTAACAAAATAAAGCAGAAGTAGGACCAAACTGAGAGTGAGCAGCATAGAGAAAGATGGATTTGTGAATGAGAAATACAAGTCTCCTATATTCATAGGAATCAAGGGGAGAATATCAAATTGATCAAGTGGGCTTACCTTTGTTGCTTTTGCAAATAGATCAACGGTTTCCTTAAATACTTCACCTGCTACTCCGTTTTGGGTCAAATCATCTAACAGGTACTCTAAAAATTCAATATTGTTGCTTTCGCCATGTAAAACTTCGGCCGCAACCATAACATCTTGGGCACTCTTGTTAGTCATCAACTCTGCTAATTTATTGTTTATATCAGACTGAAGCTCTACTATACGTTCACTGGACGGGTTAAGACCCGGGTGATCCTCATAAATTCCATGAGAAGGAGAAGAAACCTTAGTACCGGACGATTGAACACTATAATCGTTAATAGACGTTGTGGATTGACTATCAGTTCTACTATAAGCACTGGAACTTGAGTTCAGACTATCCTCATCAAAGCGAAAGATGCGTTGGTTTCTCATATGGATTTATTGAGACAATGAAATTCCCTCCAGACAGCTTCACTTCGAAAAGCCTGTAGGAGTAGTGAAGAAGTAAAATGTGCTTGGTTGTTGACCAAAAAATAAACGGGAGTTTTTGGGCGTTCTGATTATTTTGCTTCTCTTACGATATTTCAAGTTGGATGAAAAGAGCGCTCCTAAATGAAGCCTTTTTATTTTTTAGATATGATATATGATACCACCTGCCACAAAGAATATAATTTATATCTTAAAATTCTGGTTTGAAGTGAAGGAACCCACGGGGCGGTAACTAGAAGGGAGGAATCCAAACCCGGCATTAAGCCATTCGGAGAAGAGTTTAGCTGCACTAAGAGACTTACGATTAAGTTCACTAAACTTCGCGGCGACAGTCCGGACTCACAGTTGGAGGGGAAGAAAAGTGCTGTTTTGTCGCAACAGCTATTGGGATTGGTCGAGTTCCAGCGGGGATCGGATCTTTCGGATCTTTGCAGCCGCACGTGCGAGCGGGACGATTCCCACCTCCATACTTCAGTTTCACGGTTTTTTTTTGAAAGCCTATGATGCTCTGGAACACTACAGAAAGTTACCTACCGCTGACGCCTACCAGCAAGCTAGTAGACTTAACATACCAACATACCGGAAATGACAAAGCGTCGCTCCCCTTATCACCTCCAGAGTAACAATGGATTTCGACAGTAAACTTCGGGACATGTAATTTCATGAAAGAGGTTAGAGAGAAAGCTCCTCAAAGCAGCCGTTATATTATTATACGATGCCACTTGCCATGGATAAGAATCCGATTCTCTATCTACGAATTGAGGAAAAAGGGGGGAGCTCGAAAACGGTGAATCTTGAGCTTTCTTCTCTTATTCAATTGATAGTTTGATCGAGGGCGAGCGGAGACAAGTCACTAACTACAGTGCCAAGGAAAGCAATTGCATGTATCAAGCATAGTGGCATGCTCTGTAGCCGGGGAATGAGCAATTAACTTAACTCTCCTTCGTTCGGCTTCATTCCCTAAAGCGAAGGAAATAATATGAGGGGAAGAGCCCCTAGCTGTAGTAGTGAAAGTAGTAGTAGCGGTCAGTCTTTTCTTTTTGCTGTTACAGAAGCAATAGGCTTGGATGGGCGTGATAGCTTGAAGAATTGAAGAAGGAGTACCGGGCTCAAGGCCTTTCAAGGCCTTTACTATCCACTACAGACTGGTTGAAATTAAATCCATTTAGGTTGAATGCCATGGTGCTTATACCTAAAGCAGTGAACCAGATACCTATAACAGGCCAAGCAGCTAAAAAGAAGTGTAACGAACGAGAATTCTTGCGTATTGGAAAATCAATCGGCCAAAATAACCATGAGCGGCTACAATATTATAAGTTTATTCCTCTTGACCAAATTTGTAACCTTTGTTAGCCGATTCACTTTCGGTAGTTTCCCTAATTAAACTAGAAGTTACCAAGGAGCCATGCATAGCACTGAATAGGGAGCCTCCAAATACACCAGCGACACCTAACATATGAAATGGGTGCATAAGAATGTTGTGCTCAGCCTGGAATACTATCATGAAATTTAACGTACCAGAGATTCCCAAGGGCATCCCATCAGAAAAACTACCTTGACCAATTGGATAGATCAAGAAAACGGCGGTAGCAGCTGCAACAGGAGCTGAATACGCAATAGCAATCCATGGGCGCATACCCAAGCGGACCCACTCGCGGCCCATATAACATGCTACACCAAGTAAAAAATGTAGAACGATTAGTTCATAAGGACCACCATTGTATAACCATTCAGCGATGGATGCTGCTTCCCATATTGGATAAAAGTGCAACCCTATAGCTGCAGAAGTCGGAATAATAGCACCTGAAATGATATTATTTCCATAAAGTAGAGATCCAGAAACAGGTTCACGAATACCATCAATATCTAC